CTTGGTGAGGCTATGCACGGCACGGTATGCAAGGGCCTTCGCTTCTGGTGAAGCCAAGTTGAAGATCTGAGTCGAGAAATTTCATGGCCAGGATGGAAAATCACCGGTGAGTTTCCCAGCAAACCTCCAATTTTCTTGGGGATTATTATATAATGGAAAATCCCATTAAAATGGATGATTTGGGGGTACCCCTATTTCAGGATTTACACAGTTTGCCACATTTGATTACTGGAAGGGCAATTCCGTTGATACTTGGCTGAACTATTGTTAGTTATGATCTGTCATAGTTATGATATCCATTGGTGATTTGCACTGGTGATTCTTGCCTCAGATGTAAGCCATTACCCCATTGGATAATGGGCAGTTGGATAGATATATTGAAGTTCTTACTTGCTTATCAGTTGGTTGTCGGGTGGTACTCAGTTTTCAGCTGATCTTGTAAGCTCAACTCGCCCTTGTGAAGAGACAGGATCAAGATCCTACCCTGCTGGTCATATCATATCCGATTTGTTATGTCATACAGTCATACAATGTACCTTCATCCGGCAAAATCCTGTCTCGCAAATGATCCCCATTTGTCATGGGTTCGAATCACAAGTTTTGTTGGTTAAACATTGTTGTATGAATCTCCATTTTGGAGGTTTAAATTCAATGAAATTCAACGTTTGCTCCTGTTTTGCACTGGGATCCACAATTTTGCTGTATAAACCTCAACAAAAATGGTAAAAGGATGGTTCTTGGTATATTAGTTAGTATGTTGGCTGCTTTGTGTTTATGTTGGACATAAACATTTAATCTTGCTCTTTGATGTTTTCTCGGGTGTTGGTTTTGTTTTGTGGATTATTTCTCATAAACTTTCACCTGATGCTTGCGCTTGGACGGAACTGCACTGGCGCAACCTCAACCTGCCTCACAAGGATGCATCTCGGAGTGTCGAAGAGGAGGGACAATACATAACATATGTTCATTTGTGCCAAACAGACTTTGGTATTCAAGGATGCTTGATATGCAAAAACCAAACAAGAACCACAGCGCCTAACCTCAATATTACATGAAATTGAAGGCGAATAGTTTGACACTGATTTGGACAACACCTTGATTTGGTAGAACTTTGAAACCAAACATCGCCACATCACCACATCACATCAAATCTGCCCCAAAACCCGCAGGGTTTTAACATCAAAACCAAGGATGACATGTTGAACATCAACATAAAACCACAAGTAACATACTGCTGGCCAAGGCACTCGGTGAGAGCCCAGGTCGCCCAGTAAGCCTTCGGCCACCTTGGCCTACAATAGGAGTTGGGGGTGCCCCTGTGACACATATGTACTATGTGTATACATACATATGTACATGCATGCATACATACATCATACCTACGTACGTACATACAGACAGATAGACAGAGAGACATACATACATGCAGACATCCAAACATCCAAACATCCATCCATCCATCCATGCTTGCTTGCTTGCCTGCCTGCCTGCCTGCTTGCTTGCTTGCCTGCCGGCCTGCTTGCTTGCTTGCTTGAATGCTGCCTGCATGCATGCATGCATACAGACACATACATACATAACACAACACAACACAACATTACATTACATTACATTACATTGAATTACATTACATTGGAAGCTCACTGCAGAACCCTTTCCTCTATGGCCCATGTGTGATTTATGCATTATGTCTCATTGACACTTGTCTATGTAAAAATACGTATGTATACATATATATATACATACACATATATCAGTATTCTTATTCTCACTGCTTCTCATTGCCAGTATCAGTATTGTTGATACATACACTACATACTACGTACATTGCATTACATTAAAACATTAACATTATATAGCATTTACATTTACGCTTGCACCTTCATTTACATGTATATTTAAAATCACATTACACTACACAGCACTAGACTATTGCATATCTACACATGGTCTACAGCAGTTGTTTCAAGTCCCAAGAAGACTAACCCCAACCTTGAGCCCCCAAAACCAATCTCACAACCCTTAAAAGAACTCTTCAACAGACTCCAACTCTACATAGATACATAATGATGTATATATTAATATTGTTATTATTGTTATACCGTCAGTATATTATTATGATTATCATTATTAGTAGTTGTTGTTGTTGTATTATTAGACATTATATATATATATATATATACAAATGTAAGGTATGTTATGTAATGTAGTGTAATGCACATACAAAAATGTTCGACTCACCACGGAGGTTCAACTCCTACAATGGCACCTTCGGTTCTCTCTTGGCCGGTGGTGATCCATGGAGCCTGATGGCCGTTGCACCCGGTGATTTGAGCTCCCCAGACTTGACCCATCGTTTCATGGGGATCCAAAATGATCCAAACACCAGAAAGTCTTGAAGTTGATCCACAAATGATCCACAAATGATCCACATATCTTAATCATCAAATGGATCAAATGGTGGATCAGAAGCTCGGGCCATCCCAGAATGGCTCGTGTTTGACGTTGTCTGTGGAGTTAATCTACTCTATCAATGCATAGAACATAGGGATATTGCCATGTTTGATTATCATCAGAGGGTCCCTCAACATCAGGTTTGCCCAAAAATGGGGTGGGCACACTACTAATCCAGCAGTCAATCATAATTTTCCCCTAAAATCCCATAGTTCATAATTTTCCCTCTCAAGGCATCTCTTTTCTATCCCCCTTTCCCCAAGCCACTTGGGTATGGATCAAATTTGGGTCCCAAAAGGCAGATCAGCGCGCCTCTTGGGAAGTCGTTCCGCCTCCTGGATAAAGCGGAAGCGATCCGCCGGTCGAGGGAAGTCGCTCGCATCCAGCACACAGAGCCCTGGCAGAGCCATGGAAATACCTTGGGAATTTTCAAACGATTTTTACCATTTATGGGAGGGATCTACAACAAATACCTTGGGATCATAAATTATGATCATAAATAAATTATGATCATAAATTATGGGCGGGAAATGATGATAAATCGTGGGTGTGTTTTCCGAGCAGTGTGTTTTGACATGTTGTAAGAAAATTCTGATCATGGACAACTGGCTCCAGAAATCGCAAAGCTGAAGGAAGACCCCCACGAAATGGTCGTGGCTTGCTGCTGATTTATGTCCGCATGGGTCAAAACGCTGGCACCCTCGTGCAACCCCCAAAACCTCACTATCTGGAATCTGGACCAAATGAAGAGATCCAATCAGGCAGCCGGCTGCAAGCCTTTCTCGGTGAGACACTCCTCCAGCCGCGAGTCTCCCAGTTTGCCAAAAGCCTATCCAGGTGTCACCGAAGCTGGCACCAATGTGGTACGGTATCATGATGTCATGATTACATGGGGGTTCCCAGCTCATGGCTTACCATGGCTTATAATCCCAAACATTCTCGGCAAACCCCTATGATGATCACCTGCGCAGTGTTTTCGAAACTACTCATCTGAGCAACTGCAAATGCAGCCTGGACACAACCTGCACTACCCACGCACCTGCATGATTGGCACGTCATGGCGCTGAATGAAGCATGGGGCAACTGGGCCCAAAGCGACAATGGTTGCGATGGTCGGTGCAAATTGAATACTTAGCAGCTTCACGAAAATAAAATGCATGATGGGACCGAAGGGTTCAAAGACTTTAAGATCCAGACTTTTTTTTTCGAGTTGAATTGCATGTCCTAGCCTGTCAAAGAAAACCTCTCAGCAGTTCCTCGCAACAAAAAGACCGTCTTGTGGATTTTTTTTTTGCCTTGAGCAACTAAAAGCACGATCTCACATCGAAGCATGCAGGGATGTCAACCCAAGCAGCGCCCCTTGGCAAGCATTTCAAGGCTATTCTCATCCAATTTTTGCGTTAACAATCCTTATAAGCAATATGAATAACCATCAACTAGAGACATATCTTGCCAAACATGAGGATTTACATGGATTTACCCTTGAACTGGAGATAGAACATGATAGATCATTATACTAGTAGAACCGATGTAGAACTTTTAAAGGAACCCCCAGACCTTTCCGTCCTTTCCCAGTGAAACCTCCACCTTTTGGTTTCAGATTCACTGCTCAGCTCTCGCCGGCCCATTGAGGATGGCGATCTTTTCAGTGCTCGCACTTCTGGCACCCTGCCCGTCCTTTTGCAACAAAGTCATGCCGAGAAAGAAAAAAACTATATATCTACGCACAAAATGAAACTAAAGACATAATGTTATTCTGTTATATATCAAATACAGTACCAGTAGTACCGCACAAGGCGGTGTCAAAAAAAAGAAACCTATAGGAAAGGTTGGTTGTTGTGAATCACGGATGGCAGAGGGAATCCACGGATGGACCGACAGGTGGTTGGAGTTGTGTTTTTTGGAATGGTTGCAATGGTTGCAGTGGTCACCTTACCACAACTGCTGGATGTAGTGTGGTGTAGTGGTTGTAGTTGTAGTTGCAGTTGTAGCTGTAGTTGTAGTGTAGTGTAGTGGAGTTGTAGCTGTAATGTAGTGCAATTAGTGTATTTGCAAGTGCAGTTGCAGTTGTAGACGTGGTGTGGTGTAATTGGTGTAGTGTAGTGCAGCGTAATGTCGTGTAGCGTTGTGTAGTGTAGTGTGGTATAGTGTAGTGTAGTCTAGTGTAAAGTAGCGTAGTTGTAGTTGTGATGTAGTGCACTGTAATTAGTGTAGTGTAGTGTAGTGGTAGTGGTAGTGCTAGTGCTAGTGGTAGTTGTAGTTGTAGTGGTGTGGTGCAATGTAATTAGTGTAGTGTAGTGTAGTGTCATTTAGTGTAGTGTAGTGCAGTGTAGGTGTCGTGTCGTGTAGTGTAGTGTAGTAAGTGTCGTGTAGTGTAGTGCAGTGTAGTGTAGTGTAGTGTAATGTCATGTAGTGGTAGTTGTAGCTGTAGTTGCAGTTGTATCTATCTACCTACCTACCTACCTATCTATCCATCTATCTATCTATCTGGTTATCTGCCTGTCTGTCTGTCTGTCTGTCTGTCTGTCTGTCTAACTGTAAGCTTGAAAACGCAGCAATTCAGGGAGGCTTCCTCAATTTTTGAACTTGACAACATCAAAAGCGAGACAATTCTGCGAGACTTCCTTAATTTTCGAAGTTGACATCAAAAATGAAACAATTCTGCGAGACTTCCTCAATTTTTTAAGTTGACAACATCAAAAATGAAACAATTCTGTGAGGCGTCCTTCAAAAATGGAAACTTGCGTGCAGAGCTGACGGCCTCGTACCAATGCGTTGTGCGATTTTTGCACTCCATCTGTCTAAAGTACTGCGCCTGCCAGGAAAAAGTGATGCCAGGTCATACGAAGTGCTGCACCTGTCACGCAAAATCATCTTCCCAAAACTGAAGATCTGATGCTCCAAAATGCAACCCCTCTCAGGAAATCACCGCCCGGACCTCCTAGCAGCTCTGATGAAGATGTCTCTTGTACTGCGCCTGCCACGGAAAATGCATCTTTGCAGATCCTCTTCAAATGTCCCACGCCTGCCATTGTTTTTGGACATGCTACAAAACCCTCACGTTTTGCTCACTTTTGCCAAGGTGCACAATCCCTTGCGCCTGCCACGCGAAAGCACATCTGAACCTCCAAAAGTGGCGCGAACATGTGGTGTTTTGTACATTTTGACTTCGAAATGTGCTTCGCCCCTCAACGGCGTGCACTTTTTCGACATCGCAACTTCTAAAAGTGCTCGGAAGCTGATGTGCTCTGTACGTTTTGACTTGGAAATGTGCTTCGCGCCACAACGGCGTGCAATTTTTCATCTGTCATCTGGCCAGCTGGCTCCGCACCCGCCGCTTTAGCGAGCCTACTTATCGACCCTCCGGAGCCACAAACCATTGGAAAAACACAGTGTTTCGCGACTTTCCTACCTTTTCGCGCACCTGGATCTTCTTTCTTCTGAGACTTTCTCTTTTTGATCTTCTTTCTTCTTCTCTTCTCTTCTCTGATCTCTACTTTTCATCTGTCCATATTGTCGGAAGTTTGACTTTTGTTCCATGAGTACCGTGGTATTCGCCACTGGATCCAAACCCTCCCGGCCAATAGATCTTGAGCTAGCATGTCGAGTCGAGCTTCTTGTTGATGTCTGGCTTGTGGCCTTGGACAGTATAAGATCCTTGCTTTGCACATGCATCATTTACAAATTAACTCAAGCAACAATTCCTTTTTTGCAATTCCCAGACCCAAGAACACAGTTCCGTTTGGGCAGCTACACGAATGTTCAGAATAGAATTCTGCTAGAGTCACATCCTCGGATGTTCATATGTTCAATTCACTTCGCTGGATCTAAACATTGATCAAACAATCAATCCAACTTCTCGGCTGAAAAACCTAGGTGCTCAATGTTGCTACCCAATGGATCCAATGGAGTTAGATTGTAATTCTGAATGAAACTCAAATTCGTCCAAAGATTCTGGACTTCGACAGGGTGCATGTCTGGTGTCGTGTAACGTATGTCTTCCACATAGACTTCTTGCTGCGCTCATGGGCGAGAGAGCACAAGGAGCACAAGCTGACAGGGTGAATCAACGTCAAAGTCATCAAAGACGTAAAAGTCATCAAAGTCATCAAAGTCATCATCTTCATGATTCATCTTCTCTCCATGCTTTGGGCCCTGCAGTGTGTTGTTCGTGTAATCCGTGTAGCGAAAAAAACGAATGGAGGGATCATCTCTGACCATCCAAGAGTTTGTCCAAAAAAGTGGGACAGGTTCCACAAAGGTTCCACAAAGCCCTGAATGATTTTAGACACATGCCCATACACAAAGCCCATACTGGCCACGCAAGCCATCCTCCTGCCTCCCGCCCATGAAAGGCTCCGCAGTTCAATCCCACATGACGAGCAAGGGCACAATAGTGTTTCTCAATTGTTCTGGAACAAACTCATACAAAATTATATCATTTGTTTCGTGATTTAGCTCTTGAACACACAAGACAAATCCGGCATAAAGAAGTTGCAAATCTTTTGTGTCGTTGCCTGCAGCCTACTATCCGAGTTACTATTTTTTTTACTTGATGTTTTCTTCAACTCTGATGGCCCTATTTCACCATGGGAATGGCAGTGGTTCGGTTGCATTCAGAAAACGTTGCAAACCACCACAGTTTACAGCTGGAAACCTACGCACGGCTGGAGTTGGCCCTGGGTTTGCTGCTGCTTCGGTCAGCAAAGCCCGACATCGCTCCGTGAACGCTTGAAGGTTTCATAGAAACTAACACGCTGACACAATATAAAGTTGGAATCCGTATGAATCAGTCATCACTTGCGGCAAACTCCATGGTGAGACATGCCCTTGGGAATCTGAACAAGACTGGCCCGCTGCCCCCTGGGATTGCCTGCTGTATCCTACTGCGTTACGCAGTACGGACGTTGGGACGTTGACTTACAGCGTCCAATGCCTTGAATTGCATAGGTGGAGTACAGCCCTTGGACTCTTCAGCCCAGGATATGGCAACCTCATTAGGAGCGACAAATTTGAAGTCTGATGACATGAATAGTTAGAATTGTTTATAACATCCTTTCAAGGATGGGAAAGCAACAGATTTGGTCTGCTTGCATCAGGATCTTTTTGCGAGGCACCATCTTGTGGAAGGGGCATCTGTCAGAGCGGCGGTGGCCTTTGTCACAGCGGCACCAGCATTCTCCGTGCCATGGCAAGACAGCATTCTGCTGTCAGCCCGTCGGCTGCTAAAAAAGCTGGTTTAGGATTTCTTTGTCAACATAGGACCTCACCATCAAAATCCCAACGCCGAAACAAAGCAACTTCTATCCTATACTTAAAGGGTAAGCATACATATGTACAACTGTAGGTAAGTTTTTGGTATGTATAGATATGTATGTATATACATATATGTATATTTATATACAGTATATATATATTATTATGATATAGGTAAAGGGGGATTTCACACTACAATTTCACTAGGCTCCTCTTCGCTCCTGCGATTTCGGAGCCGCACGGATGAACGCACGCGGCTCACGCGTTGGCTCCATCTTCTGCCCCGGGGGGAAAGCCCATGTACAGAAGAACCACTGTGATGTCATCCACCTGCGCCAAACATGTGCTGATCTGCTGACTATCACCCACCCCATCACCCATTATCAGAATTATCAGCCCATGAAGTCATGGAATGCGTCACGAAATCGCAGCCAAGCTGCCACACTGCCGCCCTCCTCCTTGATCCATCGATCCCAAGCCTCTTTTGCCTCGGAGAAGAAGCGAGTTTCAATGACAAGGGTCACAGCTGGGTCACAGCTTTCGTTTGACAAAACCAAGGAGGTGAGTAAAATACAACCATCGGCAGAACTGCAATGCAGTGGATTCTTTTAGTTGTGGATTGCTTCACCTCTCAAAGTTTCCAACTGTCCAATAACTCTGTGTATTTTAGATTGCTATGCAGGCTTGAAGTTCGTTGCACTAGATCAACCGTTGGTACGTCTAGGCAGTGCCCACGTTTTGAAAAAGATTCTGAAACAAACCTCCCCAAGTTTCTACGGTGTAAAATTTGCTCATATCGACGATACCTTAAAAAATAAACACAAAAGCATTTATGTGAATTGTTTCTGTTGACTCATGTTTTTTTCATGCAGAACAGCGGGTCATAAGCCAGAAATTGATGGTGTATCATGATTTTCCTGCATCAAGATAACCAAAAAATGAAATTGATTCCCTATTTTGTTGGTCATATATTCCATATCATGTCCCAATAATATCCCATTCATATCCCGCTGAATCCCAATGTTTAACCAACCTAAAGGCTAAAAAAACACAGTGGTTCAATGCTGGCTGCAATCCAGCAACAAGCTCATCAGCTGCCTTGCAAGCCTTGCCAGCATCGAACCGGCTGACGGTATCCACGGCCTTGATGAAGACTGGGATGGTGAACGCTTGATGTTGGTACCAAGTTGTGCTTTACTTAGCTTGGGCAAAAGGGCTGATCCCCTTGCTGAGTTTCTGGTCATAAACACATTGAGCTTGGTTTGTCTGTCTTGAGCTCGGGGAAGACATTGGAATATTTATGTAACTCTATGTGTATATACATATATATATGTACATACATACATACATACATACATACCATACCATACCATACCATACCATACCATACCATACCATACCATTACATTACATTACATTACATACATACACACATACATACACACATACACACATACATGCATACATGCATACATGCATACATGCATACATGCATACATGCATGCATGCATTACATTACATAACATTACATAACCTTACATAACATTACACAACATTACACAACATTACAGAACATTACATAACATTACATTACATACATGCATTACATTACATACTTACATTACATACATTACATACATTACATACCATACATACCATACATACCGTACATAACATACATAACATACATAACATACATAACATACATAACATACATAACATAACATAACATAACATAACATAAATACATACATACATACATACATACATACATACATAACATACATAACATACATGACATACATAACATACATAGCATTACATTACATTACATAACATAACATTGCATTACATACACACATAACATTACATACATACATTACATAACATTACATAACATACATGTCATAACATGAAATTACATTACATAAAATACATAACATTACATAACATTACATCACATTACATAACATTGCACAACATTACAAAAGATTACATAACATCACATAACATACAAAACATACATAACATACATAACATACATAACACATAACACACATAACATACATTACATACATAACATACATACCATACATACATAACATACATAACATACAAAACATACATAACATACAAAATATACATAACATACATAACATACATAACATACATAACATACATAACATACACAACATACAAAACATTACATAACATACATAACATTACATAACATTACATTTCATAACAAATCATTACATTACATTACATGCATACATTACATTACATACATGCATTTCATAACATTACATACTATACATTACATAACATTACATAACATAACATTATATTACATTACATACATTACATTACGTACATAGATTACATTACATTACATAACATTACATTACATTAACATTACATTATTACATTACATTACATTACCTTACCATACATTACCATACATTACCATACATACATACATACATTACATTACATTACATTACATCACATTACATCACATTACATCACATCACATTACATACATACATAACATACATAACATACATAACATACATAACATACATAACATACATAACATACATGCATGCATGCATGCATACATACATATATACATACATACATACATGCATGCATACATGCATACATACATACATTACATTACATTACATTACATTACAATACATTACAATACAATACAATACAATACAATAAATACATACATATGTATATATATATATATATGTATGCATACGGCAAATGCCTGGGCTTTGCCCGGAACCGCAACCAAGACAGGCAACGCATCATCATCATCATCATCACCATCATCATCATCAAACCCTTGTTGAAGATCTTCAAAATGAAGATAGAAGTTCCACGGCGGTGGGAGAATTAAACCCTTATTGAAGATCTTCAATGAATGTAGAAGTTTAACAGGGGTGGGAGAATTAAACCCTGATTGAAGATTTTCAAAATGAAGATAGAAGTTTAAGGGGGGTGGGAGAATTAATCCCTTATTAAAGGTCTTCAATGAATGTAGAAGTTTAAAGGGGGTGGGAGAATTAAACCCTTGTTGAAGATCTTCAATGAATGTAGAAGTTTAACAGGGGTGGGAGAATTTAACCCCTTATTGAAGACCTCCAATGAATGTAGAAGTTTAAGGGGGGTGGGAGAATTCAACCCTTATTGAAGACCTCCAATGAATGTAGAAGTTTAACGGGGGTGGGAGAATTCAACCCTTATTGAAGATCTTCAATTAATGTAGAAGTTTAACGGATTGGGAGAATTAAACCCTTATTGAAGATCTTCATTGAATGTAAAGTTCAGCGGGGGTGGGACTTTAATATTTCCTAATACCTTTGTTGATCTTCTCAACTGAATGTAAAGTTTAATTGGGGTGGGAGTTTAATATTCCCTAGTACCTTTGTTGTTTTTCCTATAGGAATTTAAGGTTTAACGGGGGTGGGAGTTTAAAATTCCCTAGTACCTTTGTTGATCTTCCCAATGGAATGTAAAGTTTAACGGGGGTGGGAGTTTAATATTCCCTAGTACCCTTGTTATTTTTCCCATAGGAATTTTGTGAAGTTGCATCAACATTTGTTTGGGAATGGGAAACCTCTACGCTGCAACGCCTGGGCTTTGTGCCTACATGCATAATTATGCATATTTAGACAGAATTATACATATAGTAACTGGCAATGTATACTCTGGATAGTGGCCATATGCCCGATGATCCCGATGCTTGGGCTTTGATTCCAGGAGACTTCTTGCGCGGAGATAAATTCCTTGGAGCAATGCAGAAAAGTGGATGTGTCCATGCTGGCGATTGGGAAGCTGGCATCTTTGCAGTAGAGATAGAGAGGTGTGTATATATATATACACACACATCATATATAAAAACAAAGTAAACAAACCATTATAAAGGTAGTGCCGGTAGTGCTCCCGCACCTCCGGGAACATTGATTTGTTGCCAAATGTGCTGCTTATTATTTTGGGACTTTTTTTGGACCGGGCTGTGTCCAAGAGTCCCAAACTCCGTCGCTGCAAAGCAAGAGGATGTACTGCTTGTCTGGCTCGAATTTCACTTTGTTAATTTCTGGTTCGCATGACCTGGGAGCACAGCGATGCTGAGATGGCGTGGATCATGTTTAGATCCAACATGCCAATTGGCACTGCGCTAACGCGCAATGCCTTGGCCTTCCTCTCGAAAGCTATATAATATAAACAATATATAAACCCTATCAAAGATTACCAAAGCTAGGTCACCATTTCATTCGCAAGGATCCAGCGGTTTGCCACAGAGGGCTGCTTCCCAAGAGTGCGCAAGACTGAGGTCCCAGACATTCCGCACTCCGCGTGCCCCAGCAAATCGCCCAAGCACCGGGACATGTTCAAGCCTCGAGAAGAAATCTGTGGCACTGGCCTCACCAAAAACAAAACTCTCAGACTGTGCCTGGATAGCGGGCATTCTTCGCATAGACACGGTAGTTGGCATATCCATCGAACACCACCCGGCCACCAGACTTCTCGATGCGGGCTTTCTCATCCTGCCGTGCAAGAGGCTCCATTGCCTCTTTGTTTGGGTCACTTGGGGTTATCCAATGGGATTCTTCCAAGATCTTCCAAGGCCGTCTTGCGTTTCCTCACTTCTGATACGGTTCTGCATGCAAACGGAGTCAAACAGATCTAGGAACGCAAAACATAGTAAAACAGTAAAACCTTGTAATACCTAAACCCTGCAGTTCCATCAAGCTCATCAAGCTCGCCTTCAGGTTTGGCTTGTGGTCCCTCGTCAACGCCACTCCATTCCATCCATCACCATGCTTGGATCCAAGCGCAGCGGTGCTGTCAGCTACATGGCCAATGGTGATGGAATTGTCCGAATGGTCATGAATAGCGACCTCGCAGCACAGCATCATCCAACCCTAGGAACCCTAAAATAGCTAGTTCATGGATGTTTATTCTCCCAAATATGGTAAAAAGAGGTTTTGACCCATGGCTCTATCAAAGGCTTCGGACAAGATCAAGTGATCGAGTTCGACCAGCTCCCGGAAGGATTAAGTCACTTGGATTTTTTCTATGCCACATGTGGCGGATGATGAGCATCACAGCATCACATCATCGTCATTGGGGCAAGTATTTCAAAGAAAGTAAAGGTCACCGGCGCAAAGAGGGAATAAAGGGGTGAGGTGCGTGTCATGTAAATGTCTACGCGATGCGTGTGCCGTGTGCACGAACACATGGCCTCGGAGGCAAAGACACATTGTTACATGACATTACCTTTCATCAGATGACGTCACTTGTACCGTCGATTAGACAGCACAAGATGTATTTTGAAATGAACGTGCATCTTGGAATGGACCCTCTGGCACTGGCGGTTGGTTTGAGGTGAAAAAGAACTGGGTGGTCGGAGAGACTGCGTCCTGCCAAGCCCCTTCTGGAAACGATGTTCAAGATGATCTGTAGTACAGCAACAGTAACAATAAATCGTAGATATATAACAATAATGTAGTGACAGTGTTGACGATGACGATGACGATGCCGACGAGGATGAAGACGATGACGACGATGATGATCATGAATAGATGATCATGATGATCATGATGATGATGATGATCATCATCATCATGATGATGATGATGATCATGATGATGATCATGATGATGATCATGATGATGATCATGATGATGATCATGATGATGATCATGATGATGATCATGATGATGATCATGTTGATGATGATGATGATGACGACGACGACGACGATGACGATGACGATGGCGATGGCGATCACCATGACCATGACCATGACCATGAGGATGAGGATGAGGATGAGGATAAGAAATGAGGATGAGGATAAGGATGGGAGTGAGGATGAGGATGAGGTGGAGGATGACCATGACCATGACGATGACGATCATGACGACGGCACAACAAAGACCAAGGACGATGGATGGATAGAAACTTCATGGGGATGCGAATGCTGTTGCCGTGAAGTACTGGTGAAGGAAAACAAAAGCTCAGATTCTACCAGTAAAGGAGAGAGAGTGGAGATAATTGACTTCTTTGTTGTGTGTGTCTATGTGGATATCTTCAATGCTCCATTGAATCTATATTCAACAAATTTCGGCCTTCAGATTTCCGGCATTCTTCTAGTATTTTAAATACCCGGCAGTGTCATCCCCAATTCTGCCAAGACATGGACGTGCCAGTCGTAATGCTGAGGCGTGGACGGTGGCAGTGGTGCCAGACATCTGAGCCTGGATGGTTTTGCCCTTGTCTGAAACCATGATGAAGTTCTGGGTCTTCTTGAAAGCCTCGATCAAAATGGGGCCCCAATCCCTGGTGGTGAAACAACGCTCATCTTTAATGATGCACTTCGGCAGCATGTCCATAGCGAAGTTGGAGACGTCATGGCCCTTCTGCCCATGACCATCAAAAACTCCATAGAGAGAGAAGCTGTCCATCTTGAGCACAAACCAGGAGTCCTGTTGAGATGCTCAGACTTCCCCCATGGAGACATGAAATTTCAATCTTCCAAGCAATTTCCCCACACGTGTAGAACACAGGCTTGTGAATAGGGCAATGTTTGATAAACAATTTTGGCGTTGAAAAAGTCCAAGCAGTGAAAGAATATCTTGTCTGTTCTTATTCCTTGCGAGTCCTTGAGAATGCAACCTCTTCGGCCAGGAGATCTTAAAGGATGGTGACATTTTGCAAAGGGGCTTTTGCAAATCACTCTCACCCAGTTCAACCATTTATCCCCATCATTGGTCATAAATTTCATTCGACCATTGTTGCAAATCACAAGCCCATTTTTGCAACCGTTAGACCCATCAGCCATCAGCCTGGTTGGGACTTTCAGGCTTCAATCCCTTTCTGCAAGTGAAGCCAATGCCACACTTGGCAAGATCCACATCGCTGTCTCCCAACTTTTGCCTGAGGAAAAAAAAAAAGTCCTCCAATATTTGAAAAACACGAGCTCTACCAAACAAGTACACCGATCATCAATGTAGATATGCACATATGCACATATGCGCGTATATACATGTTCATGAACAAATATATTATACACATATACAATTACATATCCATACGCATATTCTGCACATACATGTACATATGCACATACATGTACATATGCACATAATTGCACATACATATACAGATACGTATATGCATATACTGTATATATCACGTGTGTGTAATATGAGCCGGCTTGTAAATTACCAGCCTGAAAAGCGGCCTATCTATGTAGGTTTCGCTTTTGGGGGCCGGGCTTCGTTTTGCAGGGTTTTGGTCACATTCTGTGGATCAACATTGCGTTTCGAAAGGAAAATGAAAGGGAAATTATGGAAAATGAAGCAGATGCTGGAAAATTAAATGTCTGGTCTGGGAAGCATTGTTTTGGCTATCTTTTTTCTGCAAATGGTCACAGGCTGACATCGCTCTGACATCGTCTGGAAAGGAACATGAAGCAAAATCATCGTTTTGAGGCACGTGGACCCATCCATGTCTGAAAAAAGGCCAAAATCTGAAAAAAGGCTTCGGGTTTTGCTTGGTTTTTTAACACACTCGATTTCTGGGAATTCTGGGGGCACAAATAAATACAAATTTATATAGTTTTAATGTGAATCTAATTTAAAGCTAACTCAAATATGATTAAAATTCAAATAACAAACAATTTAGATGTAAATTGATGGCAATTTAGATTAAATGCCAGTTAACTTCAAATTGACCTAAATCTCATGTCAAATCAACTCTGCTTTGAATTTGACTTAAAACGCAATTGATTTTAGTTTAAATCTACTAGATTTAATTAGAATTCAACTTCATGTAATGAAAACATGGTAAGAAGCTAAAACCAAAAGGTAAACTGACAAAATATAACAAACATCAAAAAAAAATGCCTCTCCCATTCATAATATTGTTTGTCTTGAACAAGTGGAATGAACCTGAATGGATTGATGCTGCAGATCAAGGTGCAACGTATCATGAAAACATAGGCTTCGTTCTTGGGTTTCGTTTTTCCTGGTTTCGAACCAGTTTAATGTATATGTCCTTTCTATATAAATGTTTAATTAAGCCTTTTACATGGTGATCATACATATATTATAGATATGTATAATATATATATATATACTTATTGTGTATATTATATATATATATGTATATGATATATATGTATATACAGTAGAGGATAATAGATTGATATACGCACGCAAATGATATAATAATGAGTTCTAGACAATCCATAGAGTGTGTTACCTTGATGAAAAATACCTCACATCGAACCCAACCATTTGGTCGTTGACATTTGCAGCTGTTTCCAGCCTCTCTTTACGGCCCCAGGTTAGGACCTCTTGAGTCCCCCTATCCAGACGCTGAAAACACCATCAAGTTGCATTGTCTTGTTGGCGAATGAGGTGGTGCCCTTGTCCGTCCTGGAACTGAGACTCACCCTGCGGCCACTTTTGCCTTCCAGCGAGGAAAAAAAACAGGCACCCCAGTCCCAGTATCGTGCAGCTTGAGTTGTTTGTTTCTGACTGTCCAAACACTGGTTGTTTTGAATACAAAAACGTGACATCTTTGTTGAGTCTCAGCTATTTCACAGGATTTTTCGAATGCAGCTCGCATTTTGCTGACGTCACACCTGTCAGCTCTTTGATCCTTGGGAGATGTGGGCCCAGCCTTTACCTGTTTGATCCGCATCTGAGACCATCTCAATAAGATTATTTTTGCCTCGGCGAAATCATTTCCGCCATTTTGTGCAGGGAGTCTAAGTTTCAGCACTTCAGGGAGTCGAAACAGAGACTCAAAAGGTTCCAGATACTCTTACCCTGGAATCATGCGATATTCCGATTTGCTCAACACCCTGAAAGATATGTGGCTGCCATCTCTTCCTCTGCTGCTCCTCACATGAAACATCTTCTTGCAGTGAAGGCTCTGAACTGAGCAATTAGACCACGGTCCTTGTCAGCCTCTGCATCCTGCCAGGACTTCTAAGTCACACAGCAAAACCTCGACTCAATAGTAGTCCTTGTTTATTGGCCATTGTGCCATTGTAATTCCCTACTAATGACTGACGATCCAATACAATTTGGATTGTAATTTCATTTGTGAAAGCAGAGATCTGGTCTGTCCCAGAAGTCTTATTAAATACTGTATAAATTGAGATTTGGATAATTCATTTGAGATTTTAATCATATTTCCAATCATTGAGTTTCTCAGCAACCGCTTCGAGGCAGGCCCGACTCAAGATCATCCAAACCAACCTTCTCATTGGCCACAATTGATTTCACCATCCTTCCCCGTACAAAGCTACCATGGCCTTGATAGGGAAACAGTAGCCATAACAACCGTGATGGGTCCCCACCCATCATTAATGGTTTCATGAATAGAAATGGCTGAATCATTGTTCCACTATGTTCCACTGGGGTGGCCAATCCGTTTTTTTTTCTTTTTGTTTTCGATTTTCAGCGTCCAGCCCCGGGCTCCTGGTTTCCGGGCAGTTCGGTTTCATCTACTTGGCCAACGCTCAAACGTCGGCGAGGTTTCGGCACCGGCACCTCTGAGTTGGACGAGGCACAACCTGGAGCGCTGTTTGTGCTTGGATCGGTTGTGTAATCAAAAAAAATGATGGTTGAATGATGTTTCATGGTTATTCAATGGGAATATAACCAGCTATGAAATTGTGGTTCTGTCTGAAACTTGGGTATTGCCCAAAATAATTATTTTAATAAGGAAAATACTGAGAAAACAATGAATTTGAAGGCACCACATTCAAACAAACCTGCATGGTGGCATAAGTTGGTATAGAAATGATATTGTGTATATATATATATATATGCATAATATATCCCTCTTTTAATTCAGTTTGTATATATATATATGTAAATAAATATGTACATCCACCGTATCATCCACCCATTAAGAAGACATTCATGACATGTTTGTTCAAAATCCACAAACGGTTTCATGATCATGAAGGGGATACATCATCTCTGTCACAAATGGAGGTTAAGCAACAAAACGCTGGATTTTACCAAAGTGAATGGGGGACATTGCAACATTATGTAATTTAATTTGCAACCCATAATTTGAAAATGAGACCTTCAAACCGAAACCCTCTGTTTTTTCAACCAAACAAGGGAATTCAAACACAGTGCACAAATTAAACCAAAAACAACAAAAATTGTAATTCACAACCTTCTATATATTTGGTTTGTATTTGGTTTTCATGTCCAGTGACTAAATTCAATAACTGCAACCATTTGGAACTGCGGGGCGAAAAACATCATTGGTTTTTCAATACCTTTAGCATGTCGTCAAAAATCGCTCACATGACACTCTGCAAAACAATCCTCCGTCCTCAAATCCTTTGTCAGACAAGCCACACCCCATTTTTCCAACCACAAGATTTCTGCTACAGGAAAGAGAACCAACTTGCTGCAAGACGATTCTTTGAGCCAATGAGGCAGTTCGGGCCTCCCAATGTTCACAACCAATTGGTTCAAATATGGCAAACATGGCAGTTGTTTTTTTCAAACGTTCGTCATGTTTGTCTGTTTGGCATTGCATTGGTGCAAGATGTTTGAGGCGTTCACTGAATGTAGTTCAAAAAAAACAGCACAAAAAATGACTGATCGTATCGCATCCCCGTGAAAACCACCCGCATTCAAAAATTGTTTGCGTTTGACCATGCTAAAATTTGTGGTTCATGGCACATGAACTGTAGTTGTTTGTTTAGTGCTGAAACATGCATCCGGGGTGCGAAACCAATCTTCTGACCTATCGAAAAATCATAGATAATCCAATTCGTTTTGAACCATACCATATGAAGAGTTTCTCGTGGACGGAAAAAAAATATATACGATTTTTTTCGGGAAAATTAAATTTTCCAAAATTTGGAAAATTTTTGTTGGCTTACCAATAATTTGTCATGCGTTTTTCCTTTTTTCCTCACATTTTGTGTTCGGATTTCGGTTTATTTTTCAATTGGATTTCGTTTTTTTCATTGTTCTCTTCATTTTTTTCATCGGATTTCGACTTTCAGTTTTTCCCATTTACACGTTCACGTTGTCAATTTTTCCCCAACAGCGTAAGCTAACGGGGTCTTCAGCCCAGAATAGCTCCAGTGTGCACTGGTGCAGGCGCAGGCGCCGGGTCAGGTTCAACGAGGTTCCGGAGAAGGTTCCAAAGGGCACGGAGAAAATTTGGGAGGCTTTGGTGCAGAGCCAGGTCACGTTCAACAGGGTTCCGGAGATGAGAAATATTTTCACTTCACCATTTACCTTGAGAGACAGTCTGAAAACATTGCCATGCAGGTATGCATTCAGGTGGACTTCAGACAAACGCTAGTGGATGACACGCACAAATCGAAACGAGAAGTGTACAAAGAATCATTCACAGCACATAAAATTGATGTGCATACTTCAGGCCCCTGCAGTTCAAAATAGTGTTGCTGCCCGCGTCGCATGGTAGCGGAGCACTCTGTGCTTCCTACCTGCAAGCATTGCCGCGCACCGTTGGCGCTTGGTGCTGTGCCATAGCGCTTGCTGCTGACTTTAGCGGCTTTCTGGATTGGAGCAGAGCTGATTTGTGGATTTTCGAAAGTGGTGACCTTCAGATTTGCGTAAGGGATTGGACATCTGATTTTTGCACTGGACATTGAACAGTCTGCAAATTGTTTCTGTCAATACCTCAGATTTTTGGCGTGGTACAATTTCTGGTGGCTGACATTTTACAGGTTTGACTGGTGTTGGTGTGAATTTTGCAGGTGATTTCAATTTGGATATACAAGCTTGGATTTGTAACTTGCTTGGAGATGGAGTTTGAAGAGACGGTCGCTTGAAATCATGGCGCAGGAGTTCAACCCTGCGATATTTCAAGCAGCCTGGCTTGAAGTTGCAGAAGCGACTAAGGTGGCTACAGCTGCTGTCCAGGCGATGCAAAGTGCCCAGCAGTCAAGTAATCCACAAGGTTCTACAGCTACTGCCTCTGGAAACCCTACAGGATCACCACAGGGATCAACAGACTGGTCTAAGCTTGTGAACAAGCCCCCATTGTTAGATGGGAAAACGGTGGAGGACGAGATCGGCATGTTTCGAGACTGGCTTTGGATGTTGACACAGTTTTTGAACACCATTGATGCTGGTGTTGAGTCAGAAATACAATCACTTGTGGATACCCCTACATCACCCTTGGACATGTCTACTGCAAGCTCAGAGACGAGACAACATGGAGCCAAGTTTTATGGCCTTTTTGCTTCTTTGTGCAGGAATCGCAGTTTGAATGTTGTGAGGAGTGTGAAACAAGCTGATGGTTTTGAGGCGCTCAGACAGTTAATTCTGAATTTGCGGCCTTCAAGCAACAACAGAGGATTAGCTTTGATGGGAGCCCTTACAAATTGGCCTGCATTCAACATGGGTCAACTCTTGCAGCCACAGTTGTTAAAGTTGGAGGAAGCCTTGGAAGAGGCTCGACGTGCAGGGTCAAGCATCCCTGACCAGCTTCAGCAGGTGATTTTGCTGAAGTGCGTTTCTGGCCAGTTGAGGACTCATTTGAACTTAGCAATCCAGGACTCTACAACATTCAAGGAACTGCGTGAACAGATTTTACGTTGGGACAGAAGTCAACAGAAATGGAGCAATTTGATCTTTGATGAAACTTCGGGTTCAACTCCTATGGAAGTTGATCGTGTCTATGCAGATGGACGCAACTGGAATAGCGGTGGCAAAAAGGGTGACAAGGGAAAAGGAAAAGGTGGTTCTTCAAAAGGGAATCAGAATCAGAAAGGAAAGGGAAAAGGAAAGACAAAGACAAAGGATGGTAAGAATGGATCAAAAGGAAAGCAGCAGAAAGGTGATTGAAGCGGCAAAAGCAGTGGGAAGCAGAACTTTTCAAGGAAAGGCAAAGGCAATCGACCAGACGTCACTTGCCATAAGTGTGGCAAATATGGACACTATGCCCGTGATTGCTGGGGAAATTCAATGCGACAGGTTCAAAATGATGTTTCAGTGAGTGCACAGCCTAGCCAGCAGACCTCAGTTGCAGCTGGCTCACCATCTTCGACAACAAGTTCACAGGTGCCTGTTGCCCCTCAGCATGGTCGTGTTGCCAGAATTCAATTTGCAGATTCACATGTCTCAGATGTTTCAAAACATGATGAGCTAGTGTTTGACCTTCGAAGTCCTGTCAGTGAGTCAAGTTGCTTGGATGGGACAATTCGAACTATGCAGTACTACATCGGTGATGAGCCCAATGCGACTGAATTTGATGTTGAAACATGTCATTCAGTGCGTACGATGTTGGAAAGCGTTGATGAAAACACCCAAATGCATAGCATACTCTTGGATTCAGGTGCCGATGCCTCAGTTTTTCCAGCATGTATGGCAGAGTTTGGTGTTCCTTCAGGTGAAATGCAAACATGTTTGAAAGATGCCCAGGGAAAACAGCTTCCTTTGCATGGCATGAGGGATGTTGAGCTGCATCTCATGGATATGACAGGACGTGCAATCATCCTGAAGGAAACAGTTGCTTTGAGCAATCAGATTTCACAGCCAATTCTTTGCTTTGGTCATTTGCTGGAAAATGGATGGAGCATCAACGGCATTGAGCAAACCCTCACACATGGTTCTGGCATTTCCATGCCCATAGAGTTGCAAAACAAATCTATGTCAGTACGTGGATGGGTGCGCATGATGAGAGATGAACCAGAGGTGTTGGAGCCGTTTAGCATCAGAGCAGTGCCTGCTGAAGTTTTCAATGAACTGTCAGACATGCGCATCGGTTGGAACCTTAGTCACTTAGTCCCGATGGGGTTGGTTCAGGAAAGCACTTTGCAAGCTGCTATCAAGATCCAACGCTTGCTTGCCCAACAATGTCTGGAAGGAAATTCAAAACGACGCTGATCAAGGATGGAGACCAATGGTTTGTCATGGAGCTATGTGAGCCCCTGAAATGTTTGATCGACCTTGCCTCAGAGTTTCATGGTTATGATGGTGAACGTTACGTAATCACCGTGATCACAAACACATGAGAGTCCTCCACATGTCATGGGTTTCAGATTGATGGATGACGATGAAGTACCTCAACCTGCAGTTGAGCTTGAGCAGGAACAACATGCTGCAGGTGACATAGCGCCCATGGCCCCAAAAGATGAGGTTGCAGGCGTTGACATTGGAGGTGAAATGCAACAAGATGCAGGTCATGCCATTGGGGGACAGCTTGTGTATGCGCCAGACAGAGGAGATCATTTGAATGTCAATGGGACAGAACTGTTTCCACATACTGCCTTAGCAACTTTACGTGAAACTTGTGGTTGTCTGACACTGCAAGTTGGCCACATAGCATGCATCAACTGAAGCTGCATGCAACGCACACTTTTCATGGGGGACGTGCTGCTGGCTAGGCCGTGGGTCTGGCCCAGGAAGTCGAAAAGGGATGGGTAAATGAGTGAAGCTCTTTAGCTTCGGGTGGGCGCTTTTCGACTTTCAAATCTAAATGGCGGACCCACCTCACCCACCCTCTTGAGAGATAATGTCTCGAGAACAATGTGTCCCGAAATCAACGATTTCTAAACATGCATGTAAGACTGCTCGATGATTAAAATCAGCTTCACCGTCTGACACTGCAAGTTGGCCACATAGCATGCATC